ATAATCATTTAAAAAAATATTGACCAAAGTGAACTCAGTGCCAGACACTCTGGACCCCCTTCCAAATGGTTTAGTCCGCAACGCATCGACCGCCCATAGACGCAGCGGGCGGCAAACAAGAAGTAATAACGCAGTGTCAGTGACAGTGAGTCTAGAGCCTGTAACGGGAGCCTGATCTGATCGTGCTGTGCAAAAAGCCCAAATCGGGCTTTCAAAAAAAGAAAGAGAGGAAAGAAAAAGACAGGAGGCAGAATGCGGGGAAGCAGCTGATGACTGCTTTCTTCCCAAAAGGTGAACTGAGTTTGCTATATGCACCTAACGTTACATCCAATTAAAGTTAACGTAGTCAACTCCAGACAGCTGCTGCTAATGCAGGGTTCCAGACTGCGACCAAATTGGTCTCATATGCGACCATTTTTTTGAGAATTTGATTGTGCGAGTTAAAATTGTATGTGACGTGGTCGCGTCGCATATGTACGAGTGGACACCGACCGTTGTATCAGCTGCTGCAGACTGCAGTCCGTAACTTATGTTCAAAACGAACGAGTAGGCTACATCATGAATCCATTTTCCAAACCGTGTTTTTGACTTATCCTGAATCACTACAGTACGCCTGTTATTAGTGTTTATATTCGGACTATTTTTTTTTATCCCGGATTCCCGGGTGTTGACTCGGATGCGTTTCCCAGTGACTGCGTGACTCGCCATAGACATTAATGGAGAGAAGTAGCTCCGGCAACAGTGTTCTTCCGCAAGACACATAGACGTCACGCGGAACGCGCCAATTACGAATTCATGAATAAAAATATAAAAATGAAAATGTCTCAGGAAACAAATTATTACAAAATGCAGGAGGTAAGGAGTGTGAGATTTCTGATAATAAATTTGATAACAAAAAATCTGTTTTAGCTTGTTGTAAAACTCTTTTTAGCTTGTTGTAAAAATCTTTTAAAATGTAATGTACATTTAAATGTTTAATGATTTTTAAAAGATAGAAATATGATGCTAATAGAAAAATGACAGACACAGAAGATTATGATTCAACTGTAAATAGATAGATTGAATGTAATTCAAATGTAAAATTCTTAAAATTACAGATTAAAATTACTGTCCAAAATCCATGAAAATCCTGAAATTTGGCAATGATAATTAATATATTACTGGTATTTATGGTAAGCCTTTCCTGGCTTTGGTCCATTAAAACCACTAATCATCGGCATGCATTGATTAATCCCATGGCATGTAGCAAAAAAATAAATAATCAAATGCTGGTGCGACCAACTGAGAAAGTTGGTTGTACCCTGGTTTCTGAGGGTACAGTTGTCTCTCGTGTTCTTGTGTTCTCCTATTTAAAAATAAATGTTTTTCTTTTAAAACTTGCATCAGTATCATGGATCAAAATGTTAGTACACAAAACCGATGTAGCCTAAGGTTTAAAGGTATTTGAGCACAAGTAGGCCAAATGCATCAATTCAGGTGGTGAATGAAAGAACCAGTCATTACTATAATCTGATTTTATTATTTAAACACTGTTTATACTTGTTTATATTCAAATAATTAAAAAAATACATTTCATTTAAAATTGAATTTTCACTTTGCTAACCCGCATCGTACAATGCCATGTGTAGGGGGCCCACTAACATTGAGAGTGTACAGGGCCCAGAATTTGGTGCTACGCCCCTGCCCTGATCAAACACACCTGAACAACTAATCAAGGTCTGAAGGGTCACTGCAGCGACACACGTGAGTTTTCATCAGGGTTGTTGGAGCTGAACTCTCCTGGACCTCTGATCTAGATCAACATTCGGCACAATTCTGCACTCATTGGAGTCACTTTAAAGATTTTACATTCCCAAAGTTATCATATCAAGACAGTCAGTGAAGGACAGTGATGTGACAGAACTCAAAAGTATTGAGGTAACAGCTCATACAAACAAAACACGAGACCTCGTTATATCATAAAGGTTTAAAAACTCTCCTTCTGCCTCATCGCGTTTGTTCTTTATATTGCCTGTGCATAAATTCACACTATGAATAAACAATACTTTTAATCATTTTAATAAATATACTTACTTTAATGTTCTCCACGTTTACTTCCGTATGACTCGTTCTGTGTGGCTTCTTTTCATTGTTCTGTTGTGCATCGGGTCGGTTCGGGCCCATGATCTGTTCTCACTGGAGTCTGATATCGCCAATATTAAATCGACAATGTGAACAGCTAAACGGATCTGAGCAATGCAATCGATGGCTCACAGTGTGAACTGAGCCTTAGGCTACTGTATGTTCCCACTGACAGTCCAAATCCGGTTATTTGTGTATAGATTAGATCAGAAGTCTGCGCTGGATGTCGTCTGAGGCTTTATCCCGTCGGCTATGACGTGTCTTTATTGTATTGTCGTTTTCTGCTCGACCGGCTCAATATCACAATCTTGTTTCTGCAGTGACTTCAGCATGTTTCCTATACCGAGGTCTAACATGTTCACGTTTTACATGGCGTGAGAGAGGAACATAAACCATAAGAAATCCGATCCGACTGAAATGGATTTCCAGAAATTTGGATTTCAAACCACATATTAATTTAGCTCGAAAACGATTTGTTAAAATCACGTTTCATGTGATTTACTGAACATGCTCCAGTCGATTAACTGAACATGTTCCTCCCGTGTTAATTAGGTTAATTATCAGAATGTGCTTCTCCCAAACTTTGTTAATAAAACATCATATATTAATTAGGTTACTTGACTGGATGCAATGAAGGCTACCAATCAATGTCATCATGGCCTAATTAATATTCAGTAGAGCCTTTTGACCGTGTTATTGTACAAATCTTACTTCCTTCTTATTAATGTTTCCTTGTCCATTTGAACTCATTATGTGTTCGTCTTTGGATAGTCCACCCAAAAAATTCTTAATTTACTCTCCCTTATGTGTTTCCAATCCTGCAGAACACAGAATAACATATTTTGAAGAATGTTGGTACTGTATATTTTGGAAATAAAATGTTTGGTTCCAACATTCTACAAGATATCTTCTATTGTGTTCAGACGCATGTCGGCCGCCGTTTTCGAGCACTAATTATGAACCTGAAGTGAATCTCACAGTATTTTACACAGTATCTGGCGTGAGTTTTCAGAGAGGTCAGGGATGAGGTCAGCAGCGGGCCGATTACAGCTCTGGACACACATTCTCGTCATATTAAAATACCAAGCTTTAACTCATTTTTCCTGATGGTAAATAAAGAAAACATATAATTTAAACAACTAATTTATTCAAACCAATGGAATATTTGTAGCACAACCTTTTCGTTTACAATGATTTGTTAAAATACTGTTAAACCAGAGGAAAACCCCTAACTCTCGATGTGTTCAGGCTCTACTAGAACAGGTTTTCCTGCTTGAATGTTGATTATTCTCCTCATATTCTCCATTGTTGCGGCTCCTCTCTTCCCAGTCTGTCAGTAACGCTCTGTTTACTTCCTGTCTCTATGAAGCCCCTCCTCCTGAAAGCACACTGTGCTCTGATTGGTCAGCTGGAGCAGTGTGTTGTGATTGGTCGAGTGTGTTTGGGAAATGTCACGCCCCTTTCCTTAACCGCCAGTTTAACACACTACTAACTAACTCAACCAGGCCCCGCCCCTTTATTCTGCGCATGAATTATTATAATGAGGAATATTGTGACGTGTTCGTTCGGGAGAAACTCAAGACTACAATGGAGGCGTTTCAGGAGTTCAGGAACACTGACACTGATATAGATTTGCAGATCTCATGCTCAAACAGCAACGTCTTATTTTTATATCTTAAATATTATTATGAATGAGTTAAAGATTTTAGTCATACTGCGTAGTTGTGCTTGCAGTCGATTATTTGATTTGTGATAATAACACAATGAAACATGACAATTTGTGCAACATTTTAGTCCAGCCTGTCAAACAAATAAATGATGAACACATGCTAAAACAAGAGAGAACCGACAGAATATTAATAACTGATTGTGTCAGTCAATGTTTGCTTTTTCCTGTCGGATTTTTTATACGTTTTAATGGATTTTTTTTGGCATAGTAAAATAAAACCTATAGCTGTAATTTAACTTTATTTGCAAAACAATTTTGTCAGATAAATACCTTAACCAAGTTTAATGTTTTGTTCTTCCCTATTTAAAATATACCATGTTTTCCTCATATTTCACCGGTTTAATAAGTCTGGAGAACTTCTCATGGAGAAGCTGGACCTTCAGGGACGATGTTGTTAACATCGGTGTTCGGTTCATATGAATTAGCAGATTTCGGTCAGTACAATATAATCAGACTTTTGGACAACCAGCTATATTAACCCTTTTCATTAATAAGTTTTGAGGACAATAAGTGTGTTTGCTCTTTCTGTCCGCGAGCCAGGAGAGGAAAGTTCAGCTGATTATCTTGTAAAATTATAATTTTATAGATCTATGTTGAATTTAAAATTAATGTTATAGATCTTATTGTGAATGTTAAGTTAAAACAATAAAAACTTCCGTTTCATCACTTAAATAACATTGAAGCGCTGATATATCTGCTGATCTATATCCTAAAACTTGAAATCTTTCTAAATATTGATGATAATAAAGCCATATACATCTCAATATTTTTGATGTTGCTCTAGAATGATTAAAAAAGGTGATTTTATTTTTCCCCCAATTAAACACAAGCAGATTTGGACAAACACTTATTTTGTTAAAGCAAATTCAAAATGTTTAGTGCAAGTAAAAAAAAAGCAGACTTTTCATTAATAATCTTAATTTTCAACAATATTTGCAATATTCACGATACATAATAATAAAGATGATAATATATCGCCCAGCCCTAAAACATGAAGCATAGCATTATTACTCTCAGTAAAGCTGCTTTAAAACGAGGCAAACTTTTGGTTTCATAGTGACCCCTCACCCCTGTATAATGTGCGTTTTGTGTGCAATACGGAACAAAAGATGCAGTCATGATATTAGACAAATAAACAAAACAGTCAGTGTTGATGATGTTAGATACACTTTAATCAAGCAAATGTGAAAAAGCTGAAGACAGGAACAGCGTCAGGGTTACAGATACACACAGTGTTTAGGGGTTACAGGTGCGTTCACACACACACTTACTGTTACAGACCAGTTCCCTGAGGCGTGATCGACGGACAACACTATTATACAGCAGGAACACACACTCTCACGAGCATAATCATAATCATAATCATAATCACGTCAGGCACAGCCGCTTCTGACCAGCGTTTGGCACTTTAAACACAAGGACTTACACACACACACACACACGAGGAGATCTCGTTTCACACTCTAACGGATTAAATATCTGTGAATTTCAGAAGAAAAAAATATTCACCTCCCTCTTGTGTGGTCTTAAAAGTTAAGGCTTTAGAAATTGCATAAATGCACAAGCATAAAAAATCATTTCCATTTTTGAAAGCAAGCCTCCGTCAGTACCGTGGAAAACCCTGAGGCGTTAGACTGGATCCTAATGCGGATATAAAACACACACTCAGCGCTCGCTCGTGTGATATACTGTCTGAAGAGCTCACACACACACACACACACACACTGTACCGTCTGTGCTGAACTATACTGTCAGTGAAGATTGGACAAACACTCGATTTTGTTCTGTACAGGCATTTCAAATATCTGAAAATCTTATAAAAGCAAAAAGTCACGTTTATAAACATAATTCTCACGATCGTTGAACCACAGCAAAACCCCACAACCCCCCGAGCCGCAGCTTTACTCGGGATGTATGAGATGAAAGATTACAGTCAGGTCCAGCAGAAAGCCCAATCCTCACCTTTCCCTTCTTCTTCTTCTCCCCCCCGAAGAACTTTCCGAGCTGGTCCATGACGGTGGGGCTCTTCTTGCTGCGGCCCAGCCGGAGGGTGGACTGCGAGGAGCTAGCGGATGCCATGAGTGTCTGAGGGAAGCGAGGCGGGCGAGAGAGCTCTACTCGAGGTCCTCCTGGATGGTCTGCAGCTCGTCCGACTCCGAGGGCCGGTCCGTGAAGGTGTTGTCCTCTCGCCCCGGGGCGTCCCGAGAGAACAGGCGGGTCAGGTGTGGGCGGGGCCCGTCGGGGTCAGGGGTCGTGCCGCTCGACTGCTCCGGCGTGGACTCGCTCAGACTCTTGCTGGAAGAGCCATTGTTCTGGTTCAGGTCCGCCTCTCCCTCTCCTGAACACACACACCATTGTCATCAACACTGAATCATCACTTTTCACAAACCATTAGGGGTGTGCCCTTCTCTTTTCACTGGGGGCTTAGTTGGGGACATTTAATATAACTTTCCACAATGATATTGAATCATCACTTTCATGAGGAAATACTAGAGGTGTGTCGCAATATATCGCAATAATATTGTGTATAGTTCATCCAAAGTAAAAATGACTGTGTGAGAAAAAGTTTTAGTGTCACATTAAACTACTATATAATGTTGATTATAATGTATAATAATGAATATCTGTGGGACTGATAATGGCAGATGTCTGATGTTACCAGTATAAAGTGGCCTTTATTATATGAAATATATCCAGTCAGTGACAGAGATCATCATATTCATCTACAATAATTCTGTGTTCATCTTCAGAATCATGAATATTGTTATTCTGGAGTCTCTATTGTCCTGCGTTGGGTTTCAGAACCAAGTCCATCCTATTCATTTACACACACACACTGAACACCACATTTAGCATTTAATCAACGGGACATTTTTGGTTGACCTTTAATCATGTATCTTGGAGTATACGGTGATATATATTGAATCATGACGCGAGGGAATCGTTGAAACGATCCGTCGTAACACGTGTAGTGATGGGTCATTCATTAACGATCCGGTCTTTGCGTGTGTCACATGACAAATGAGCCAAAGACTCGCAAGGTAAATTAAATATTTATGTTTCCTGTGAATTATTTCAGCCTGCATTATAATGATCTCTTCATTGGGGTGCGGACTGATGGGTCAGTGAACCCGAGGTTCCCCGCGAGCTCCTCCGGCCCGAGTTTAGGGAAGCATCGGGTCCATCGCAGACGTCCAATGCACTACTGAGGCGGTGTTTTGCCCGATGAGAAGTTGATCTCTTCATTTCTTTTATAACTGTTTTAATTTTCCTCGCTTTTATTTGGTGATTATTTTAATTCCGGTGTAAAGCACTAAGTGTATGAAGTGCGCTTTATAGATAAACTTGCCTCGCCTTAATTCAGAATATGATCAAGATAGTGTGTTGATGTGTTCGGGGAATCTGGCTGTTAAAAGTATAACATTTAAAGCCACTTAGATGAACCAAATGACTCGAATAAAGACTCTTTCATCTTGCTGAACGAGAGAGTCGGTGAAATGATCCGAACTGCCCATCGCTCCTGACACCATGGTGTTCTTCTCCACAGGTTTGTTCCCCAGGAGGTCGTCAGGTTTGAAACACAAAGCCTCGACTGTACCGCACAACACAAGAGAATCTGAACTGACTCTAGTGTTCCTCACAGAGACTCTTTGTCCTCCACAAAGTTATTGCAGAAGGACAAAGGGGACAGTGTGACTGGAATAACTTCCCCAGGCCAGATTCTGCACATTCTCTGCCCAGTGAAACTCATCTCGTTTCTCCTGTCCATCATGTAACGTGTGGCGGATACAAATCCCTCATGATGGTCCAAACGTGGTTTTGTATAATTACAAATGACAAATTTGCATCATTTTTTGGTCAAAAGCAGAGCTGTGCAATGATTAATTGCATCCAAAATAAAATGTGTTATTTATATATCAAATATTTCTATTTATATTTAATGTAAATTGGTAACACTTTACAATAAGATTCGTTGGTTAATATTAGTTTAATGTATTTGCCAACATGAACTAACAATGAGCAATCTCAATGAGCAATCTCAATGAGCAATCTTTGTTAATGTTAGTTAATAAAAATACACCTGTCCACGTCTTTTCATGTTAACAAATACAACCTTTGAATTTAATAATGTATAAGTAAATGTTAAAATGAATTTTAACTAAGATAAATGCTGTAGAACTATTGTTCATTCTTAGTTCATAAGGTAGTTAACTAATGAGTGTTACGAGTGTACTAATGAGTGTTATGAGTGTATATAAATACATGTGAGTATTTATATATACAAAATAATATCCACAGTACACACACACATATAATGTAAACGCAAACCTTTATTTGGGATGCTATTAATATTTTCACAGCCCTACTCAAACGCAGTGGTGGAGGAAGTACTGAATCTCAGTACTTAAGTAAAAGTAAAAATAACCAGATAAATATTTACTTTAGTAAAAGTAGAAGTAACACAATGACAACCATACTTAAGTAAAATGTAAAAAGTACCTGATTTTAAATGTACTTTAAGTATTAAAAGTAAAAGTACTTGCATAACAATTGATTCTCTTAATGACTATTTTCTAATGATTAATAAAACATTTAATTCTAACTCATTCAACCTAATACTCCTATAATGATGTTCAATAATGATGGAAAAAAATTGTTGTCACCATTTCTGAAACAAGCTTGCAGTTAGGCAATATAAACCATCCTTATCCTTACTAACTTATATATTAATAACTATGTTTGGCAGTAAACACGATTAATTTATGGTGTAATTCTGAACCTCTTGGCTTGCCATGTTTCCTATGCACGTAAAAACAAATTTTCGCGTATAAATTGCACAATAAACACACTGCGTGCGAGACGCATTTAGTTGATGTATCTATGGCAACCAAACGTCACTGGTGAGACAAACGTGCAACGGACGGACGGTCAGATTACGTTTTGGCAGGGGAAAAACTGATCAGAAAATGTAATGAAAATGTAACAGAAGTTGTAGAAATGTAGTGGAGTAGAAAGTAGAATAATTGCTGCAAAATGTAACGAAGTAAAAGTAAAAAGTATGCACTACTTATTCTACTTAAGTAAAGTCACAAAGTATTTGTACTTCGTTACATTCCACCACTGCTCAAACGTGGAACTGAAGCTGAATTCTAAATTAGATAATAATAACGTCTCAGCTACGTATGTAGCCCTCGTTCCCTGAAGGAGGGAATGGAGATGTTACGTCAGAACGTCCGACTAATGGGGTCTCGCCCGAGAGTCCAATCCCCTTCGAGTTGTAAAAAACAAGCCAATGGTACGCACAGTACCTTGGTCTGCGGAATTTGTGTCGCAAGTCCCGCTCGCTGTATGTGTATATAAGTATATGTATATACATTCTACGTTACATCAGAACGTCTGACCAATGGGGTCTTATCCAAAACGCCACAATGTTTGTCTTGCAGTGCCTTGCGCTAGCCACGGCTCCCTGTGGTGAGGCCAGCAAGAGCGAAGGGCTAAGCTTAACGCAAGAGTTCCCAAGGTAGACAGGGTAGCAAATTTTATCAGGAAAATGCCAGCATGATGCCTACCCAGAGGGAGGACTTAGCAATAAACACATGAACCACCTAGGCGGAATATATATGGAAGATCTCGGAGGTAACCCAGCCAGAGGGTGGAGTATATTTCAGCCTCAGAGAGGCAAGAGTGGTCTTGCCAAGGGAAAGACACGTGCTACCAGAGACTTATTGTGGAAATACACGCGTGGGAATCGCAACACCTACTCCAACACGAGGGCTGGGCAACGGGGCAGCACACAGGTGATAGACGTCAACAGTGCTGGAGGAACCCAGGGTTCAGAGCTGTGGAACTCACCTGAGGAAATTACCGCACAAATCCAGTCCGTGAAGGGGAATGGTGCAGCCAATGAATTACACCGAGCAGGTCCCACTTACTGGTGGGTATACTGGAGGACACTGCCTCTATATGGATATTATAAAATCTTGCAAATGTGTTCGGTGTCGGTCAGCCCGCAGCTCTACAAAAGTCTGTTAGCGAGGTGCCGAGTGTCAACGCCCGGGAGGAAGCAACACTCCTGGTCGAGTGTGCTTTCACCCCTGGGGGCAGACCTTAGTCTTGGTAGGCCAAGGTTTTAGCATCCACTATCCATTGGGACAACCTCTGCTTGGAGACGGCCTTTCCCTTCAGCTGGCCTCCGTAACAGACAAAGAGCTGGTCTGAGGGCCTGAAACACTGCATAGGTAAGCGTGGAGGGTGCATACTGGACAGTCCAGATCACAAGGACAAATGCATTCAAAAATGAGTTTGGGCATTAACATCTCAAGGAACGCAGGTCCAAGATTGGGCGTAACCCACAGCTTTTCTTGGGTACAATAAAGTAGGGGCTGTAAAATCCGCACTTCATGTTGGCTGGAGCGACTGGCTCGATTGCACCCTTAGGGCTGTGACCTCTGCTAGCATGACAGGGTGCCCATGAAGCGGACTGCCCGAAACCTGGGGGGACGCCCGGCGAATTGAATCGCATAGCTGATACTGATTGTTTGGATGAGCCAGTGGGACGGGCTGGGAAGCTCTAGCCAGGCTCCCAGGAACCGGACCAGCGGGGTCAGAGGAACTACTCGCCATGGGGAAGCAAGATGGAGCAGACGGCCCTGACATGGGAGGCATGACTAGACAGAGAGTGCCAGAGAGCTGGCGACCAGGGAAGTGGGGGAAGAGAACAGCGAAGCTTTGCGTCACCCACTGTCATCCGTGCCCTCTTGGGACCCAGAGGCAGAGTTTGTGTTTGTTCTTTCTTCAACAAATTGAACAGGATAGCCGCTTAGCCTGGTGTTTGCGAGGCTTAGGGGTAGAGACACTGTATCTCAGGCTGTGGCCAGGGTGGAGGGTGTTGCTGTGGTCTTGCGGTAGCAGAGGGCAGAATATGTTTAATCGGCTTAGACTGCTTCTGGGTGGCCGAGAACTGCTGAGTAAAGTCCTCGACCACACTGCCAAAGAGGCCAGCCTGGGAGATAGGGGATTTGAGGAAATGGATTCACTCAGACTCCCGCATGTCTGCCAGGATAAGCCATAGGTGGCATTCCTGGACCACAAAGTGTAAATCACCTGGCCCAGGGACCGCGAAATGACCTTCGTTGCTCATAGGGAGAGGTCGGGAGCAGTGCGTACTTCCTGCATAAGCCCTGGGTCTGCACTGCCTTCGCGCATCTGTTTGAGTGCCTTGGCCTTGTGGACCTGCTGGATGGCCCTAGCATGCAAAGCAGAGGAGGCCTGACCTGTTGCTTTGTAAGCCTTGGCCACAAGAGTGGACGAGAACTTACAGGGTTTGGACGGGTGCTTGGGATTTCCGTGCCAGGTGGAGGCGCTCTGAGGACACAGTTGCATCGCAACAGAGCGCTCCACTAGGGATACCCCAGTATAGCCCTTGGCCGCCCCGACATTGAGGGCAGTGAAGGCGGAGGCAGCCGCCAAACACTTACAGGCATTCAGAGGTGCTCTCCACAAACTGGTGACTTCCTCATGCACTTCCGGGAAGAATGGAACTGGAGGCGTGCGCTGACCCCAAGGACTAGTCATCCAGACTTGAGCGCTCAGGGCACGGTGGAGGGTTCGACTCGAGCCCGATGCTCTCGACTGCCTGGGCAAGCATGGCCGTCAGCTCTGGATCAGACTCGGGCAAAGCCATCGTCCCACCGCCTTGTGGCGATCTACATCTGATCATCTGCCGGCGCCCCGAATGAAACGCTGGGTCTTTACGCTAAATATACACTAAACACACACACAGATAGAGAAAGCCTAAAATGATGACCCCAGCCTAAAAACAGAATTATTGTAGATGAATATGATGATCTCTGTCATTGACTGGATATATTTAATATAATAAAGGCCACTTTATACTGGTAACATCAGACATCTGCCATTATCAGTCCCACAAATATTCATTATTATCCATTATATTCAACATCATATATAGTAGTTTAATGTAGTACTGACACTAAAAAATCCTCATAAACTTTCATTTTGGTTGAACTATACACAGCACATATTGTCAGTATCCACGATACATATTGGTGCATGTTTGTATTGTATTATATTGTGACAGCCCTAGTTTGTGGTCATGTTGTTGTGGTCTGCATGAGGTTTGAGCGAGGTTATGTCCCACACACACTGGAGCAGTGGGCCGAGGAACGGGAAGCATGTCTCTGAGAGGAGCTTCAGGCATGCGGCTCGAGTCCAGAACTCCCACCCCTGCTCCAGTCCCTGTATAAGCACATTCATGAGGAGCGGAGGAGCCCACGGCACACAGACAGGCCCTCGTCTGTTCCAGCACAATCCCTGACTCCGACTTCTGCAGTCCAACCGAACATGCGGGACCATTCAAACCTTGAACGGTTTCTGCTTACATTTCCTGGCCAAGATCTGGCCTTTTTTAACATTGCAGTCAAACTATTTTGCACAATTTTTGAGACTACATTCCTATGATAGATGATCAATGGCTACAGAAACGATAAAAACACTTTGCGGTTCCAGTGTTTGTATGGAAACTCGGATGAGATGTGCTCAGAATCTACTGACACACACTCTGTGATTCTGGAGTGTGGATTACCGGAGCAAATACATATACTCGCACTCAATAAACATTAGTGAGAACTCATAGCCGAGGGTTTCATAAGGGGAGAACTGCATGTTTCTGATACATATTTATGGATTGAATCCCACCTCATCTGTGTGTGTGTTTTGTGGTCGAGGGATTTCCCTTGAGGTGATTTAAAAGTTGTTTTATTTTTTATTTTTGCTGTATATATAAAAGTGTTAGATGCACTTTTATAATAGATAGATGCACTTTTATGATGGATAGATGCACTTTTATGATGGATAGATGCACTTTTATGATGGATAGATGCACTTTTATGATGATAGATGCACTTTTATGAAGGACAGATGCACTTTTATGATGGATAGATGGACTTTTATGATGGACAGATGCACTTTTATGATGGATAGATGGACTTTTATGATGATAGATGCACTTTTATGATGGACAGATGGACTTTTATGATGGACAGATGGACTTCTATGATGGATAGATGCACTTTTATGATGGACAGATGCACTTTTATGATGGATAGATGGACTTTTATGATGGACAGATGGACTTCTATGATGGACAGATGGACTTCTATGATGGACAGATGGACTTTTATGATGGATAGATGCACTTTTATGATGATAGATGCACTTTTATGATGGATAGATGCACTTTTATGATGGATAGATGCACTTTTATGATGGATGGATGCACTTTAATGATGGATAGATGCACTTTTATGAAGGACAGATGCACTTTTATGATGGATAGATGCACTTTTATGATGGATAGATGGACTTTTATGATGGACAGATGCACTTTTATGATGGATAGATGGACTTTTATGATGGATAGATGCACTTTTATGATGGATAGATGCACTTTTATGATGGACAGATGCACTTTTATGATGGATAGATGGGACTTTTATGATGGACAGGTGCACTTTTATGATGGATGGATGCACTTTAATGATGGACAGATGCACTTTTATGATGATAGATGCACTTTTATGAAGGACAGATGCACTTTTATGATGGACAGATGCACTTTTATGATGGATAGATGCACTTTTATGATGGATAGATGCACTTTTATGAAGGACAGATGCACTTTTATGATGGATAGATGCACTTTTATGATGGATGGATGCACTTTAATGATGGACAGATGCACTTTTATGATGATAGATGCACTTTTATGAAGGACAGATGCACTTTTATGATGGACAGATGCACTTTTATGATGGATAGATGCACTTTTATGATGGATAGATGCACTTTTATGAAGGACAGATGCACTTTTATGATGGATAGATGCACTTTTATGATGGATAGATGGACTTTTATGATGGACAGATGCACTTTTATGATGGATAGATGCACTTTTATGATGGATAGATGCACTTTTATGATGGATAGATGCACTTTAATGATGGACAGATGCACTTTTATGATGATAGATGCACTTTTATGAAGGACAGATGCACTTTTATGATGGACAGATGCACTTTTATGATGGATAGATGCACTTTTATGATGGATAGATGGACTTTTATGATGGACAGATGCACTTTTATGATGGATAGATGCACTTTTATGATGGATAGATGCACTTTTATGATGGATAGATGCACTTTTATGAAGGACAGATGCACTTTTATGATGGATAGATGGACTTTTATGATGGACAGATGCACTTTTATGATGGATAGATGCACTTTTATGAAGGACAGATGCACTTTTATGATGGATAGATGGACTTTTATGATGGACAGATGCACTTTTATGATGGATAGATGGACTTTTATGATGGACAGATGCACTTTTATGATGGACAGATGCACTTTTATGATGGATAGATGGACTTTTATGATGGACAGATGCACTTTTATGATGGATAGATGCACTTTTATGATGGACAGATGCACTTTTATGGCCTTCAAAACAGAAACGTCCACTCACTGCCATTATAAAGGTTGGTAGTACATACACACCTAGGATGGATTGAGGGCAAGTAAATCATGGGCTAATTTTCATTTCTGTGTGAACAGCCATCTCATAAATACTGCATGTTTAATGATCAAATAAGACAAATGTTGTTTAAAATATTTATAGCAGTATTATAGTACTTTTATGAATATTCTGAATTAGCATATTTATATGCTATCTAATTTAATCTAATATCATCTATAGATAATCTATATTTATAAGTTTTATAGTTTTCATGCTAATTTTAGTCTAATTGTTAGTTTAACTCATGAGCTGTATTTTATTGCTTGCTATTTATGTTTACATTTTTATTTTATTTCCTATTAATAATTTTAATGATTCATTTTAAACTTATTTTGCCTTATATTGCCAAGACAACATTTTTATTTTATTTTATTTTATAATTATAATTTTTATTTAGAGTTTTTCAGCTGATATTTCTATTGTGCTCCACTGAACAGAGATGTTGTAGTCGTTTAACCCTGAGCGATGACGCTGAACAGTGAACAGTGAGGCAGTGATGAGGAGATACTCAACAATATCAGCTCACACACACACACACACACACACACACACACACACTCAGTGAACAGTGAGGCAGTGACAGAGGAGATTCTCAACTGTATCAGCTGTTGAATATGGAGGCAGGAGCCGGTGCCAGCTGGAGTTCTCTCCATACACTGCTGACTCACACACACATACACACTGATACACACACTCATCCACACACTGATACACACACTCATCCACACACTGATACACACACTCATCCACACAGTGACACACACAGACACTCACTCACTCACTCAAACACACACACACACTTGCAGTTTTTTAGGGTTGTAATAAACCTTCACATGATCTCTGATGCGTGAGATGATCCCCTATAAACATTAACAAGCTTCACATCTTCAGAGATGGATCTATAACTCTATATAACTCTATATATAACTCTATAACTCTGTTCCTACACTCCTGTTCGAACGGCCGGAACACGATCAGTTTTACCGTTTCTGAAAGAGCCTCTTCTGCTTTATTTGATCAGAAATACAGTAAAAGCAGTCAAATATTATTACAGTGTTACACACTCTTTCAGAAACAGTCAGCCATCTCACGTGTGTGTGTGTGTGTGTGTGTGTGTGTGTGTGTCTCCTTACCAAACACCTCGTCCTGTGCCTCCGGTGACTCTGCTGACATCTGATCAGATCCGGTGGAGGATCCCTGAAAACACACACACACACACACACACACACACACACAACACTTTACTTTCACAACCAAATACTGATCAAATAAAACTGTGTGTCTATGAGTGTGTGTGTGTGTGTGTGTGTGTGTGTGTGTGTGTGTGTGTGTGTGTGTGTGTGTGAGAGAGTGTGTGTGAGTTGTTACTTTTTGACAAATCTAGTGTGTGTGTGTGTGTGAGTGTGAGCATGTGTGTGAGCTAACATACTGTACACACACACACATACACACACACACACACACTTCTCATGACTGTAAAGCATCTCTGCATATTTATATTACTGAGTAAGTGTGTGATTACACCGCTGAAAAAACACACTTCAATCACGCAATCGTGAGTGTGTGTAACCCAGTATAAGGTGGTGTGTGTGTAACTCAGTATAAGGTGGTGTGTGTGTAACTCAGTATAAGGTGGTGTGTGTGTAACGCATGAGGGCTGCAGTGGATGTGTGTTATTGTCAGCAGCTCCTCCTGCTGGCGAGGAGAGGAACAGCACACACACACACACACACACACCCCTGCATCTCTTCACAGAGCTGGCACTTATATAAATAACATTTAAAAGACTGAATATTTTAGGAGCTGGAGTCTGGAGGAGAATATGGATTACTGAACTCTTAATAGTGGAATTATTTCAGTTAACAGCTGAAATACACTGATGATACTCAACATGCGTGTGTGTGTGTGTGTGTGTGTGTGTGTGTGTGTGTGTGTGTTGTTAAAGGAGAATGTGTTTCGAGGGAATTTGACATCCCTTATTCCTTATGTCTTGATTCTGCAGTTATTGATGACATACACCGGTCACATTACTGTAATATACGACACACACACACACACACACTGAAGACTAAACACAACCGGTTTATAACTCATAACCCATGAATAAAGACGTACCTTGGACACGGACAGCGGTTTTCCCAGATGTTGACCCATGATCCTGAGGGAGAGAACACATGTGGGATATTAATAACACACACATCCTCAGTTCATCAGCATATCATAACTAACGAATGGCTGTTTTAATAACATGACGGCACACGACCGAAGTATTGGAGACTGTTCAAACTATATTAATCTCTTATCTGTATATGTGAGAAACAAATGACTTTACTCTTCCAAACTGTGGGGTTATAGTCTGCTACTGTTCCAGGAGACGGACACTTTACACATTTCAGAACTTTTCCCAAGTTTTCCTGACCATAAAACCCTGTGATGTTTTGAATTAGCTTTTTTACATGATTTATTTTTTACACAGATGCGAGACACCACTGCATTTACAGAGATGGCTTATTAAGGACTACAACTAACAGCTGGTAGAACTACACAAGCTTCCTCCCAGGTTAGTGACATCACCAACCCTAAGATTTACATTAACCCCGCCCCCTGAACACGATTTATAGATTATCAAGACAAAATATGATAATCACTGACTAGAAGATAACTACACATAAACTACATACATTCATCAACTAACCAATCAGAAATGTCCTGTTATATTCTACATGTTGTCACTTCTTGAGTCTTCCCATCTTTGTCTGACTCGGTTTGAACATAAAAGGCTAAAAGTGTGTGTGTGTGTGTGTGTGTGTGTGTGTGTGAGAGAGAGGGGTAAAAGAACCTGAGCTGTTGTAGCTCCGCCCCCTGTGCCGGGTACAGCAGCTCATTTGCATATAAGGGACACACACAAAACGGTGCGTTTTTGCTCACCCTCAAAAAGTGACAACTTTAGCATGCTATATGAAGATATCTGTGGGGTATTTTGAGCTAAAACTTCACACACACACACACACACACACACCCTTAGGACATCAGAGACTTATTTCACATCTTGTGGAAAGGGCATTATACCACCACTTTAATAACTAATGATCTTTGCAACGGAAGTGAATCAATCAAAACTAACTTTATCTGGACAGTAACTTTATTCTAGATCTGCTGTGAAGCCTGAACACTCTCTGTTACTGTAATCTCCTGTTATTACTGTAAATCTGCTGTGAGACTCTATAGTGTTAAAACGCTGTACAGATGAAGGAGACTCGACTTTGATATCCCACAATCCTGTGCTCTGCATTCGGTGACTGTTGAGCAGAGAATAAAGATGGCATCTGAATGTTGCGGTAAAGAGACGAAGATGAAGGGTAGAGTAGGAGAGTTGAGGATTCCCAGGATAAGAAGAGCGTGTCAAAGCATGTAGAAATATGACAAACATACCAGGAATTTGCCGAGGGTTACTCTACACTAATGTTATTAATGATGAGGTTACTCTACACTAATGTTATTAATGATGAGGTTACTCCACACTAATGTTATTAATGATGAGGTTACTCCACACTAATGTTATTAATGACGAGGGTTACTCCACACTAATGTTATTAATGATGAGGGTTACTCCACACTAATGTTATTAATGATGAGGTTACTCTACACTAATGTTATTAATGATGAGGTTACTCCACACTAATGTTATTAATGATGAGGTTACTTCACATTAATGTTATTAATGATGAGGTTACTCTACACTAATGTTATTAATGATGAGGGTTACTCCACACTAATGTTATTAATGATGAGGTTACTCCACACTAATGTTATTAATGATGAGGGTTACTCCACACTAATGTTATTAATGATGAGGTTACTCTACACTAATGTTATTAATGATGAGGTTACTCCACACTAATGTTATTAATGATGAGGTTACTCCACACTAATGTTATTAATGATGAGGTTACTCCACACTAATGTTATTAATGATGAGGTTACTCCACACTAATGTTATTAATGATGAGGGTTACTCCACACTAATGTTATTAATGATGAGGTTACTCCACACTAATGTTATTAATGATGAGGGTTACTCCACACTAATGTTATTAATGATGAGGTTACTCCACACTAATGTTATTAATGATGAGGTTACTCCACACTAATGTTATTAATGATGAGGGTTACTCCACACTAATGTTATTAATGATGAGGTTACTCCACACTAATGTTATTAATGATGAGGGTTACTCCACACTAATGTTATTAATGATGAGGGTTACTCCACACTAATGTTATTAATGATGAGGTTACTCCACACTAATGTTATTAATGATGAGGTTACTCCACACTAATGTTATTAATGATGAGGTTACTCCACACTAATGTTATTAATGATGAGGTTACTCCACACTAATGTTATTATTGATGAGGTTACTCCACACTAATGTTATTAATGATGAGGGTTACTCCACACTAATGTTATTAATGATGAGGTTACTCCACACTAATGTTATTAATGATGAGGTTACTCCACACTAATGTTATTATTGATGAGGTTACTCCACACTAATGTTATTAATGATGAGGTTACTCCACACTAATGTTATTAATGATGAGGTTACTCCACACTAATGTTATTAATGATGAGGTTACTCCACACTAATGTTATTAATGATGAGGTTACTCCACACTAATGTTATTAATGATGAGGTTACTCCACATTAATGTTATTAATGATGAGGTTACTCCACACTAATGTTATTAATGATGAGGTTACTCCACACTAATGTTATTAATGATGAGGTTACTCCACACTAATGTTATTAATGATGAGGTTACTCCACACTAATGTTATTAATGATGAGGTTACTCCACACTAATGTTATTAATGATGAGGTTACTCCACATTAATGTTATTAATGATGAGGTTACTCCACACTAATGTTATTAATGATGAGGTTACTCCACACTAATGTTATTAATGATGAGGGTTACTCCACACTAATGTTATTAATGATGAGGTTACTCCACACTAATGTTATTAATGATGAGGTTACTCCACACTAATGTTATTAATGATGAGGTTACTCCACACTAATGTTATTAATGATGAGGTTACTCCACACTAATGTTATTAATGATGAGGTTACTCCACACTAATGTTATTAATGATGAGGTTACTCCACATTAATGTTATTAATGATGAGGGTTACTCCACACTAATGTTATTAATGATGAGGTTACTCCACACTAATGTTATTAATGATGAGGGTTACTCCACACTAATGTTATTAATGATGAGGGTTACTCCACACTAATGTTATTAATGATGAGGTTACTCCACACTAATGTTATTAATGATGAGGTTACTCTACACTAATGTTATTAATGATGAGGTTACTCTACACTAATGTTATTAATGATGAGGGTTACTCTACACTAATGTTATTAATGATGAGGTTACTCCACACTAATGTTATTAATGATGAGGTTACTTCACATTAATGTTATTAATGATGAGGTTACTCCACACTAATGTTATTAATGATGAGGTTACTCCACACTAATGTTATTAATGATGAGGGTTACTCCACACTAATGTTATTAATGATGAGGTTACTCCACACTAATGTTATTAATGATGAGGTTACTCCACACTAATGTTATTAATGATGAGGTTACTCCACACTAATGTTATTAATGATGAGGTTACTCCACACTAATGTTATTAATGATGAGGTTACTCTACACTAATGTTATTAATGATGAGGGTTACTCTACACTAATGTTATTAATGATGAGGTTACTCCACACTAATGTTATTAATGATGAGGTTACTTCACATTAATGTTATTAATGATGAGGTTACTCCACACTAATGTTATTAATGATGAGGTTACTCCACATTAATGTTATTAATGATGAGGTTACTCCACACTAATGTTATTAATGATGAGGTTACTCCACACTAATGTTATTAATGATGAGGGTTACTCCACACTAATGTTATTAATGATGAGGTTACTCCACACTAATGTTATTAATGATGAGGTTACTCCACACTAATGTTATTAATGATGAGGTTACTCCACACTAATGTTATTAATGATGAGGTTACTCCACACTAATGTTATTAATGATGAGGTTACTCTACACTAATGTTATTAATGATGAGGGTTACTCTACACTAATGTTATTAATGATGAGGTTACTCCACACTAATGTTATTAATGATGAGGTTACTTCACATTAATGTTATTAATGATGAGGTTACTCCACACTAATGTTATTAATGATGAGGTTACTCCACATTAATGTTATTAATGATGAGGTTACTCCACACTAATGTTATTAATGATGAGGTTACTCCACACTAATGTTATTAATGATGAGGGTTACTCCACACTAATGTTATTAATGATGAGGTTACTCCACACTAATGTTATTAATGTTGAGGTTACTCTACACTAATGTTATTAATGATGAGGTTACTCTACACTAATGTTATTAATGATGAGGGTTACTCTACACTAATGTTATTAATGATGAGGTTACTCCACACTAATGTTATTAATGATGAGGTTACTTCACATTAATGTTATTAATGATGAGGTTACTCCACACTAATGTTATTAATGATGAGGTTACTCCACACTAATGTTATTAATGATGAGGGTTACTCCACACTAATGTTATTAATGATGAGGTTACTCCACACTAATGTTATTAATGATGAGGTTACTCCACACTAATGTTATTAATGATGAGGTTACTCCACACTAATGTTATTAATGATGAGGTTACTCCACACTAATGTTATTAATGATGAGGTTACTCTACACTAATGTTATTAATGATGAGGGTTACTCTACACTAATGTTATTAATGATGAGGTTACTCCACACTAATGTTATTAATGATGAGGTTACTTCACATTAATGTTATTAATGATGAGGTTACTCCACACTAATGTTATTAATGATGAGGTTACTCCACATTAATGTTATTAATGATGAGGTTACTCCACACTAATGTTATTAATGATGAGGTTACTCCACACTAATGTTATTAATGATGAGGGTTACTCCACACTAATGTTATTAATGATGAGGGTTACTCCACACTAATGTTATTAATGATGAGGTTACTCCACACTAATGTTATTAATGA